ATTTTGTTCTTATACAATCACATGACCTCAGCCAAGTCACTCATGTAAACCTGAAGCTAATAAACAAAATAGAGGTAATAGAACTTTGAGTTCTCAATACTGAAATGTGTACAACTTAAAATGATACATGGGGAGCTCTGGTGGCCTCGTGGCAAGAAGCTGCACTGCAATCCCAGAGGCACACGTTCAAATCCACCAGATGCTCTGCCGAGGGAGGGACAACCTCCTCCTGTACCAGTCAGATCTGATTTAACGGTACACACACAAAAAAAATAATTTTTTTTTAAAAAATAAGGATACATATGGAGTAATATCTGCAATCTCAATTCTTCAGCAATCAATGAAATTCCGTAAGTGATACATATGAAAAACATGGGAGTAACTGTCAAAATATACTTACTAGAAGAGTAGCAAATCCCAACTAAAAGCATTGCTTTATTATGTTGTTTAACAGCTTTGACATTTTTAATGAATGTTTAAAGAAAATTAAGCTTTTTTAAAAACTACCAATGAGTACATACCGTCTTTGTGAATTCTGAGTTTAAGTTTAAAATATTTATGTAAGAGGGAACTGCTACATTCTCATCATCTAGCAAATGTAACTCAGAAGTAGCCATCCTGTAATTAGGAAATACAAGTTGATGGCAGAAGATAGGCAATCTCCTCCTGTAAGATTTACAGCATCTGAAAACCCACCAGAGGGTCTACTATTATGAGCCAGTTCCAACTCAAAGGCACAGAACATGACAAGAATTTAAGTGCAAAACTATTAGCTACTGCATTGTTCATAAAATCAAGAAATGAAAAGAAACCTATCAAATAGAATGTTTTAAGTTACAGTAATAGCTACACTATGGAATATTATACACATAAAAACAGAGGTAGAAATTACATTGAAAAGCAAGAATGTTCATTCATATGAACTGCAAAACTATAGAATTCTATTTTAAAATACAGTAGTTTAAAAATAAAGTCTAGCTGGAGAAGCCTTAATGGTGCTTACACTGTTTGCTTAAATTATTGTTTAACTTCAGTAAGGAATATACCAAGATTCACTAAGACTTCTGTATTTTTTTATTTTTTGTGGGCGTGTACCATCAAATCAGATCTGACTGGTACAGGAGGAGATTGCCCCTCCTTCCCCAGCAGAGCATCTGGTGGATTCGAACCACGCACCTCTGGGAGACTTCTGTATTTTGTACTTCCTATTAGTAATTGCTTTCCCAGCTGCTGGTGCCACAGCTGTTGTTTTCAGGGGCTTCTCCAAAGTGCTCAAGAGCAAAGATAATCAGTTTGAAGACTAAGAAGCACCTGATTCAAGCTATGTATGGTCTTTTCAATTACATGCGCTGCACCTGTAAGTAAAGATTACAGAATAATTAATGCCTTTCAATTGTGCTGGAGAGTGCTGAATATTTTAATAAACTGCCAAAAGAACAGGTAGTATGTCTTGAAAAGGTACAGCCAAGAGTGATCCTTGGAAGGCAGGCTAGTGAAATGTAGTCTGACATACTTGAGGCATGTTGTTAGGAGGGGCCTTGGAAAAGGGTATAATCCTTGGAAAGGTGGAGGGTCAGTAAAAGGCAAGATCCTCAATGAGATGGATTGACTAAATGGGCTTGAGTGTCAGAGATGAGGAGAATGGCACAAAATAGGAGAGTATAGATCAACTATTCAGAGTTGCTGTAAGTTGTACTCAACAGCACTTCACAAGCAATTTGGTAGGGAGCACTGGTAGCCTAGTGGTAAGGAAATGCACTGCCAAGCCAGAGACAGGTAGTTTGAATCCACTAGTAACTCCATGGAGGAGTAATGAGCAATCTCCTCCCCTGTGAGTTAATAGCTTCTAAAAACCCACAAGAATTATTTCTGGCTTTTTGAAAAATTCAGTAATAACTGGTTTTTTCTATGTTTTAAAGAGCAGCCTAATATAATTTTTAAAGTGGCTTACATGTAACATGGAGAAGATGTTTCTTTGGCTTTATCTATTCTTTCAAAGTTTTCCTTTAAAAACATTTATACAATATACTTTTACTAAAAATATAAAAAGAGGCATATAAAAATAAATATGCTGTTTAACGACTCTGAAGAAAATCCACTTTCCTATTGTTTCACAGGCAGGTACCCTCTTTCAGAAAGTCAAAAGTAGGGCTAGAGAGGATTTTCCACTCTAGAAAGAAAAATCTGACTCACAAGTTGGTTAAAACAGAAGAAACTCAGCATCATCTAAGTTTAAATGTTGTCATTAGGGGTAAAAAACCTAGTGTCTAGATGCAGTTCACTAAAATCCATCCAAAAACCACTCATTTTCAATCAGCAAAGACACGAGAAAAAACACTTTACATCATATGCAAATTCTCAAAATTAGAAACTTACGTATACCTAAAAGACAAATAAATTGTCAATTACAGTACTGCCTTGAAGAAAATCACAAATGCTAACTAGAATTTTCAACCCTTGCTTAAAAACATTGAATAAATATTCTAAGTCACCTAAGTTACAGAATCCAATATATTCATGATTTGATGGGTTACTATCAACCTTAGACCTTTCAAACAACTTATTTTACAAAAGCATTTAATACTGTAGATATTAGACAAAATTATGAGGTTCATCTCTCGTCCTCACTGCAAACATTCAAAGACTAGCTTCTACACCTTCTCGTAAAAATTTAAGAGTATTGTGAAGTTAATTGCCTTAAAATAGAAATAAAAAAATAAAAGCCAACAACCCAAAGATCATGTGCATTAAAAATTGACAAGAGGAACACAACACTAAGGATACTGTTTTCCCTTCACACAAGTTTCTAAATGTTGGCACATGAGAAGTGTCATTGTTATGTGCCGTCATTTGTGACTCATAGCGACCCTATGTACAACAGCCCTAAACCGTGCTCTATCCTGTGCCAATCTCATTGCCTCTGACACACCGGTCCAGATTACCCCAGTCACTTAATCAATCTACCTCATTAGGTAACATTATCCCTTTGCTAAGTAATCAGATCTGCATATTGGAATTAGATCTAGTGTAGGTAAAGTGATGGACTTAGCCCCCAAAGGCCAACAGTTCAAACCCACCCTGAGGGACTTTTATTAGAAGATTTAATTATCTGCTTCAAAAGTTATAGCCTTGGAAATTCTATGGAAGAGGGCTTATGTATTAAGTCACTGTGAGTCTTGGTTTTATACTGGGAATACAAAATTACTTTATTAGACTTTAACGGCAGTTCTGGTGGAATAGTTGTGGCAGTTTCTCTAGTGGTTGAAATCCACCAGCTGTTCGAAGGGGGCCAAGATGGGTCCCCTCCCATGACAAAAGTCTTCGAAAACTGAGTCAGCTGTGAGTTAACCAATTTGATAGCAATGAGACTTTGAAACCCTTCCCAAAACGTAAGCCATTCCAACTGACTTAGCAGAAAGCAAAAAAGAGCAGTCAGAATAACCCTCTAAAAATGATAAGCCTTTTAATAATCAACCCGCTTTGCATCTTTTAAGACCAAAAATGCTAAATCAAATGTAAAGAATCCCAGTGTAGTGCTATCACTAAAAGAAAACCGTTGTACTTGAGACCAAAATCGGATTCTTACTCTTGCATTCAACTCCATTTGTTACTGAGGCACACTTAAATACCTCTACCAATCAACTATCCTTTGTCACTGTGAATACTGAGCAGACATAACCAGGCAATCTTCATACCTCTTGAAAGCAGTCTTGACAACTAAGGGTGGGGTAGGAGCTGGCAAAAATTAGACTTGAATTACATAATGACAAGGACTATAAGGAAAAAATTAAAATACTTGTACTTTCAAGCCAAATGTTTTCCTCAAGGATTATTATTAACTCCCTGACTTCAAACGCAAGCATGAAGTATTTTAAGCTAAATATACTAGATGAATAGGTACTTTGAACCCACCCACCAGTTTACACATAGTCTCACTCAAGCATGTAAAGAATTGAATTCTTTATTTGCGATATCCATAAACGTTGCTATTCTATAGTTCTATCCAGGAAGGCAATTTTCTCCTATAATCATTTTGTTTCCTTTTTTATAAACAACAACTTGAATTCTATTGCATGAAAGGGCTACAAATATACATTTGTTAACCAAGCAGAATACAGATAGTTTGCTTTACAACTTGCACCTAGTGTACCAGTACATGTTTCTGGTTCATTTGTTGTCACAGCAATTTGGGGCTACAGCCCAAGCTATGCATAGCAGTTTACATTTTCAGAACTCAAGAATGGGCAACTGTGATATAGACTTAAACTATACTCCTGTGATGCCCATCTCAATTACAAGTAAATGTGTAAATCCAAAGTCTGCACAGATTTTTTATAATAAAACACTCAAATCTGATGCAATTGTCCTAAGCAAGTTTTTAAACAAATTGTTTTGCAGATATACTGCCATTCTGCCAGTAGATGGTGCTACAAAGGTTGAGGGAAAGGAGTTCCATGAGGACAACGGTTCAGGTATGGGGGGAGAAATAAGCAAAACGTTTTAACCTGCTCTGAAAATACAAAAATGCATTTCGTTTGAGGGTGAAATAGAACCCTTATTTGTAACCATTCATTACAAACAAACCAATAAGAGGGCTGAAACTAGGCCATCTGAAAAATTTTAAACCGTTTATATGAATGAAAACACATGCTTAACACAAACTATTTCTTTAGAACTACACAGTACATACTTTGAAGTAAATTCTCATAGAAATAAGTGACCAACCATGTCAAGATGACAAGCAAATCGCTTAAGTACAAGAAATGGATGCACAGAAACTTAAAAATTTTTTCAAAAGCCACATCCACCACTTCAAAAGTTTTGCCTGTAAGGGATTAAATTGTCGCTAGCAGGGCAACAGGAAGGGAAGGGGGTAAAAAACAAAACCACAGGACTTCTTAAAAGTTTCTCTAAGTACACACCAAGTAACACGAAAAATCTTCAACTAATATTCCCTAAAGCAGTACGGAATGGATCCTAGGAAAAAAATGTTAGACATGTACGGTCAAACACAATGATTTATTAAAAATAAAACGTAAAAATGATTATTACTTTTTTTTTTAACATATGCTTCCAAATTTCAGGCATGGGATCTGAGTCGATTTCATAGAAAACGCTGTAGCCAGGTTATCAAGTCCTTACAACAAAGTAAACTACCCCCCACCCCAAACCCCGCCCAGGTTTTGCTACAGAATCAGCAAGTTCACGCCCTCCCTCCTCCCCCCCAAAAAAAGCCCCCAAATTAAAACAAGACATTTTGCTAGTATAAAAACGACCAAGGTCCAAGTAATAATAAAAAAATAGAGTCCATCAATGACTGTAACACAAAAATGTGTATGTTGGGGCCGAGTCCATCTTCAGCGGGAGAGACAAGAGAGGTGGCAGGCAGACAGGGCAACACCCCCATGGGGAGGCAGCCCAAGGGCAAAACGGGGCAGGCGGTGGGAGGGAAGGGACTTGGGAACTTACCCCCCGGCTGGGTGGTTCAAAGAGCTACCCCCTATAGCCACTCCCAGGCAGCCTCCATCTTTTCAGAAGGAGCTGCCTCCGTAGCCACCCCCACCGCCGTAGCCACCTCTGTAAGGTCCACTGTTACTGCGGCCGCCCCAGCTGCTGCCGCCGCCCCCGCCGCCGCTCTTCATGGGCCCGTACGAGGACTGGTGCTGGCTGTAGCTACCGAAGCCGCCGAAGCCGTTACCGTAGTCGCTGCCGCCGTAGGACGAGCCGCCGCCGCCGTAGGCGTTGTAGCCGCCGCCGCCGTAGCCGCCGTAGCTGTTGTAGCCGCCGCCCTTGGACAGGCCGTTCTGGTCGCGACCCCCGCCGCGCCCGCGGCCGCCCCGGCCGCCCCGCGAGGCCCGCGAGCCGCCGCCGCCGCCCGAGTGGATGTCCTCCTTGGGGACGGCCTTCTTCACCTCCACGCGGTGGCCCTGGATCGGGTGGAACTTGACCACGGCGGCCTTGTCGGCCGCGTCGTGATTCTGGAAATACACGAAGCCGAAACCGCGCTTCTTGCCGGACTGCTTGTCGGCGATGATCTCGGCCTTCTCCACGGTGCCGAACTGCGAGAAGTGCTGGATCAGGTCGCCCTCGGCCACGTCGCCCTTAAGGCCGCCGACAAAGAGCTTCTTCACCTTGGCGTGGGCCCCGGGCCGCGCCGAATCCTCCCGGGACACCGCCCGCTTCAGCTCCACCGTGTTGCCGTCCACGGCGTGGGGCGAGGCAGCCATGGCGGCGTCGGCCTCCTCCACGTTGGAGTAGGTCACGAAGCCGAAGCAACGGGAGCGCTTGGTCTGGGGGTTCACCACCACCACGCAGTCCGTCAGAGTCCCGAAGGCCTCAAAGTGGCCGCGCAGGCCCGACTCACTTGTCTGCACGTTGAGGCCGCCGATGAACAGCTTACATAGCTGAGAATTCTCCATCTCCACGGCACGGGCCTTGCCCCCGCCCTGCGCGCTCCGAGGTTTCGCCGTCGCCGTTATCGCTGGCTTAGAAAGGCCTCTTCACAGCTCGGGCCCAGTCGCTGCTGGAGCCGCCAGGCGGGTCACCGACGGGGAAGGGAAGAAGGGAAGGGGAGGGAAGGAAAGAAAAAAGGAAGGGGGAGGGAAGGGGAGAGATGCCGGCTAGAGGGCGAGCTGAGGAGACTGGAAGACACCCAAGGAAGCCGCCACGGCCGCCGCTAGCGCCGCCGCCACCTCCGCTCCCCTATTTGAGCACCACACAAAGAGGCCGCTGAACGCGCGCGCACCCACCCGGAGGCGTGCGTCACCGGCGTCAAACTCCAGCGGAGGCTGCCCGCCAATCCCGGCCTTCCTTCTGTTAGTCCCGCCCCCTACGCCGCAGCGCCGCTCTCTACTACGGACTCCCCGCCCTCCGCGGTCTATTCAAGCCCGCGGCTTAGCTGCTCCTGCCTCCGCGTTTCTTGCCCTACGTTCACTCTCGCGAGTCCTAGTGTTCCCCGAAGAGACATTCTCCCTGCGCTCCGCGCGCCCCCGTGACTCATTCCCTCCACGCCTCGCGGCTGTTCCCAGTGGCTTTCCCCCTCCCCTTATCTGATCCCCTCGCCCAACTCCGCAGTGGGGTTCGCGCCAGCCCCTTGAGAGACATGACCGTATAGCCAATCACAATGATGGCTTCTCACCCACTTCCGTTTTCGGACGCCGCTGTACGGGCGCGCTCCCCGGAGCGCGCTGGTCTCAGCGCCCCCTGCATGCAGAGCCGGCCCTCCACCCCTACGCTTCCTCCCGCCCGAGGCTCGACGGGGGAGGATGCGGAGGCGCGCTGGGGGCCGATCCCAATGGATCCGGCCTGGGGCGCCACGCGCGGGCTTTTTGAAAACTTGACTGTTGGGGTTGGGGTCCTGGGTTACCTGCAGCCTGTAGGCCGCGTCCCCACACCTGACCTCCGCAGTTCTCCTCTCCGCACAAAGATGGAGGGTGGAGGCTTCGTCCAGGAAGGCAGTTATTAACAGTTTACCTTGGGCTCCATGGTGCTGCTAAACCGAAACGTGTCCCTACGCAAAAGCAAACTCGAAGCAATGTGAAAGCGTGCTACAGACTCTCTGACTGAGGAGAGATAGAAGCCCTTCATATATATTTTCATTTTGTCTCAGAGTACATCATTTTATAAGTTCTATTTCCGTTAGTCATTGCTTTCTCAATTTTTAGCTTTTCAAAGGCGTTTCATATCAGTAAGAGACGGTAATTAGGACACTAGATATTACAAACCCTCAAATAATTGCCCTGTTAGGTGCCTTCAAGACAGGCGACTCATAATGATCCTATGAACAACAGCTCTCAAGCCTAAGGAACCCTCCAACAAGTGTCCATATAAGAAAATTATTAATGGCATCCTTTTATTGAAATATGTGCCGAGGGAGATAATCAGTTGATATTAAGAGACAGCCCCTACAAAATATTGTTAGAAAGTGCCTTTGCCTGTGTCTGTCCTCCATTTTCAAAGTCAAAGATGGCTAAATTAATCTCATACTTGATAATCACTATTTTGCCTCCCAAATGATCTGTTCTGCATAAAGATTGAGAAGGTATGGAGACAGGATGCATCCCTGACACACTTCTTTCCTGATTTTGAACCATGCAGTGTTTGCCTGCTCTGTTCTGAGGACTGCTTCCTGGTTCAAGTATAGGCTTCACGTAAGCACAAGCAAGTGTTCTGGGATTCCCATTTTTAACCACAATTTATTGCGATCCACACAGTCAAGTGCCTTTGCATAGTTAATGAAACAGATAGATATTCCTCTTTGCTTTCTGCAAATTTGACATTGGCAATAAGGTCTCTAATGCCACGACTTCTAAACCCAGCTTGTATTTCTGGCAGTTCTCTGTCAATGTACTGTCCAGTCGTTTGTGAATAATCTTCAACAGGATTTTGCTAGTGTGATACTAGCGATCTTGTTCGATAATTTCCACACTCTGTTGGGTCACTTTTTTTTTTTAATGTAAATAAACGTGGATCTCTTCCAGTCAGTTGGCCAAGTAGTTGTCAATTTATATGCAGAACAGATCATTTGGGAGGCAGGGCTTTTTGAGGAGGAATGTAGCATCAGGATTGGAGGAAGACTCAACAGCCTGCGTTATGTAGATTACACAACCTTGCTTGCTGAAATTAAGGAAGAACTGAAGTGCTTGCTGCAGAAGGTCAAGGGAGATAATCAGTAGTCTTCAATCTGGATTGAAGCTCAACATCAAGAAGACAAAGATTCTCACCACTGGGCCAATGGGCAGCACCATGATAGATGGAAAAGGTATTGAGATTGTTAACAATTACAGCTTTCTTGGATCCGCAAGTAACACTCTTAACACCAACAGTCAGGAAATCAAAAGATGAATTGCATTGGGAAAATCTGCTGTCAGGGACCTCTTCAGAGTACTTAGTATAGAAACTAAGGTGAACCTAATCCAGGCCATGGTCTTCACAATTACTTGCTATACATCAGAGACCTGGGCAATGACTAAAGATGACAGAAGAACTGATGCCTTCAAATGGTAGTGCTGGAGAAGAGTCTTGAACATACCAAGAAAACAAATAGTACTGTCTTAGGGTGAAACCAAGTTTCTCCTTTGGCTAGCATTTTAAAGGTGTACATCAGCATTGTATCCTTTTTCCATATTAATCTGTATGCTGAGCAACTTATTCAAGAAATTTAACTCTGTGAAGAAGAATGTGGCATTAAGATCTGAGGAAAACTCAGCAAGAACTTGTGTTATGTTGGTAACAAAACCTTGCTTGGTAAAAGTGAGGAGGATTTCAGGTGATTGCGGCAGAATGTCAAAGACTATATACAACCTTCAATACGGATCACATCTCAACATCAATAAGCATCGGCTCAAGTGTGCCAGAGATGATGAAATGGCACTGATAAAACAGGGATCAGATCTGTTATTCACAGGGGCACTATGTTGTTGTTGTTGTTATGTGCCATCAAGTCGTCTGTGACCCATAGTGACCCTATGTACAACAACCCTAAATCCAGCTTTATCCTGTGCCAATCTTATTGTCTCTGACACACCTACCCCTAGTATCCCAGTCGCTGAATCAATCTATCTCCTTGAGGGTCTTCCTCTCCTATGCTGTCCCTCCACTCTCCCAAGAATGACATCCCTCTTCAAGGACTGGTGCCTACTTGCAACATGTCCGAAGAATGTCAGACGAAGCTTCAGAATCCTTGCCTCCAAGGAGCAGCCTGGTTTCACCCTCTCCTTGATGAACCTGTTCATTTTCTTAGCAGTCCATGGTATATTCAATACTTTTTCCAGCACCAGAGCTCAAAGGCATCAATTCTCCTTCTGTCATCTGTAGTCGTTGTCCACAGTCTGAGTCCTAAATTCATTTGAATTCCTTATATTCCTACTGCTTGCTGACAATAAAATCATCATTGTGGCTCTATTTAGTTGAATACAAGGCAAGCCTAGGGAAAGGCAGTTTCATACTGTTAATATGCATGGTTAACTTCTTTGGACATACATGGTTATCGTTGTATGTTATAGTCTCTGATGCATAGCAAGTGATTGTGAAGATCATGGCTTGTATCAGGTGCACCTTAGTCTCCAGAGTGACAGCATTGCTCTTCGGTATTTTAGAGAGGTCTCTGATAGTAGACTTTCCCCAATGTAATATGTCTTTTCATTTCCTGGCTACTGGTGGCCAAGAGTGTTGATTGTGGAGCCAAGCAAACTAAAGCTGTTTATAATCTCAATCTCTTCACCACTCATCATGGTGCTGCCAATTGGCCCAGTAGTGAGAATCTTTGGTGTTGGTTTGTTGTTTTTGTTTTTTGTTTGTTTTTTTTTTTTTATATTGAGCTTCAATCCATACTGAAGGCTGCAGTCCTTGACCTTCTGCAGCAAGCACTTCAGGTCTTCCTCAGTTTCAGCAAGCAGGGAAGTGTCATCTCCATAATGCAGATTAATGATGAGTCATCCTCCATTCCTGATGCCACATTTCTTCTTATAGAGCCCAGCCTCCCAGATGATCTGTTCTGCATATAGATTGAAAAGGTATGGAAATAGGACACATCCCTGGCATACACCCTTGCCAATTTCGAACCATGCAGTGTTCCCTTGCTCAGTTCTGACAACTGCCTCCTGTTCCAAGTATAGGTTTCACTTAAGCACGCACAAGTGTTCTGGAATTCCCATTCTTCTCAGATTTAGCCACAGTTTGTTGTGGTCCAACAGAGTGTGGAAATCATCAAACAATATCATTAATATCACATGTAAGCAAGAACCTGGTGAAGATTATCCAAAAACGACTGGAACGTCAACAAAGAACTGCCAGAAGTGCAGGCTGGATTTAGAAGGGGAGGTAGTACTAGGGATATTGTAGCTAATGTTATAAGGATCTTGGCTGAAACCAGGGAGTACCAAAGGAATGTCTCTCTGTGTTCCATTGACTAGGCAAAGGGTCACTATGAGTTGTACTCAAATATAAGGAACCTAACAAGAATAACCAAATAGCCAAGAAATAAAAAAAATGTATTGTGATGGGAAAGTCTGCTGTTAGGAACCTCTCCAAGGTACTGAAGAGCAATGGTGTCACTCTGGAGGCTAAGGTGTGTCTGATATAGGCTATGACCTTTACAATCACTTGTTATGCATCAGAGAGTTGGAAAATTACTAAGGAGGATAGGAGAATTGATGCCTTTGAGCTGTGGCACTGGAGAAGAGTATTGAATGTACCCTGGACTACCAAGGAAACAAACAGATTCATCCTGGAGAGGGTTAAATCAGGCTGCTCCTTGGAGGAAAGGATTCTGAGGCTTCGTCTGACATACTTTGGACATGTTGTAAGGAGGAACATGCTTGGGAGGGTGGAGGGACAGCACAGAAGGGGAAGACCCTCTATGAGATGGATTGATTCAGTTACTGGTGTAATGGGGATGGGTATGTCAGAGGCAGTGAGATTGGCACAGGATAGAGCAGGGTTTAGGGCTGTTGTACAAAGGTTCGCTATGAGTCCCAAGTGACTCATAACAACATATGGCGCATAACAACAAGAAGAAGAAGAACTATCTTAGCCCCAGATTGCCTACCATTGAGATTTTAAGTTAGAAAGAAAGAACCAGTTACCATAAGATAAATTTCAACTCATAATGGCATGTCTGGGTAAAAATGTGCTATGTAGTCTTTAATGATTGAGTTTAAGGGTTTTTTGTTTGTTTGTTTGTTTGTTTGTTTTTTAAGTAGATCA